CTACTGTAAATATATTAAAACTTAATTTTTGATTAGTAATATAAGAACTTCATTTGGACAACTTTAAAGGCGATTTTCTCATTATTTTGATTTTTTTGCACCCTCAGATTCTTGATTTTCAAATAGGCCTAGTTGTATCTCAGCCAAATATTGTCCTATCCTAACAAACCATACATCAATGGAAAGCTTATTTATTCAGCTGTTGACCATTATGACTGGTTTTGTGGTCCAGGGTCACATATGTGTGTGTGTGTGTGTGTAATATATTCCATTTAAAATGTATATATCCGTGATCATGAAACAACAGTACAGTACTAGTAGTACCTTTTTTAAAGAATATTTGTATTTTACATTTTTAATAAAAAGTTTTCATCAAACCTTTGACTTAAATATATATTTCTGAATCCTGAATTATACGTCTCAATATATTATGCATATACATTTTTGTTTTGTTTGTACTGACAATCAATGGGTGTATATTAAAATGTCAGGCAGTCCAGATCTCCTTGTGATCATGTGTTTAATAATGGCCTTTAAAGCTCCCAGGCTGTTTGGTTTGTGTATTAGAGATCATCAGCTGGTAAAGTGCCATGCGGTTTAAGCGTGTCCTGGTCACCTCTTTCTGGTTATCCTGCGGTTGGCTCACAAGCACCAGATGGTGGCCTGCATGTCTGAGGGGGTGGGGATGTGAATCTGTCTCTTTTTCTCTCGCTTTTCCCAGCTCTTAACTGAGGTATTTGGTGTCATTTAGACTGAATTAACCTTTTAAAAGTCTCCTGTCATGATTCATTATTTCTTGAGTGAATCTTGAATCACAAAAAGTGGGGATGATTTACATGTGGATGTTTTGCGTATTTGTGGGGGTATTTGGCATATCATGAATAATATGCCTTCTTTTGATGCTAATGCTTCATTATACTCTATTGGTTTCACTGACTAAGCCTTAGAGATTTAACTGTGAATCATCTCATTATGGCCCCATATATTCAGTGTATATATTTTACATAGTATATACATATAGTCCTTTGAGATATTACCATATTAGATTTAATATGTCAGTGACAACAGCAAGTATATTATATTATCAAGGTTTAGGGTCAGTAAAATTTGTTAATGTTTTTGACTTTGAAGAAGTACCTTATGCTCACCAAGGCTACATTTATTTGTTTAAAAACAGTATTATTGTGAAATAAATAATATTACAATTTCAAATAACCATTTCTTTTTTAATTTTCAGTTTAAAGAAATTATACTAATATGATGATTTGGTATTATTATTATTATCATATTATTATCAATGTTGAAAACAGCTGAGCTGCTTTATATTTTTCTAAAAAGTGATCTTTTCTAAGGATTATTTGATGAATAGACAAGCATTTATTTAAAATAGAAACCATTCTAAACATTATAAATGTCTTTACTGTCACTTTTTATCCAATTAGTGTGTCCTTCCTAAATAAGTATTAAACAAAAATCTTAATGACCCCATGCTTTTAAAATATTGTCTCAATATCAAATAACATTTTATTTTATTATAAAAGAGTCTAATTTAGGGATTCACAATATATCAATACTTCATCAGTAATCAATAATTTGTCAGATAATTCTGAATAGATAGTGGTCAATATAGGATATTTAAGTGTTACTTATTTTCTCCGTATTTACATTTAGATCAATTTTGCTGTTGTCTAACACTCACAGAAAGTTAATCTTTAAAAACACTCACTTAAATGAATATCAATTTGACATACTGTTATAATGTGAAATATTAAAAATGACTGATTTTTATTTGTGCACTTTATTTACAAAAATAGTGTATAGATATACCATTTATTGGTTACCAGCTGTAATGTGGTGTTTGGGTTTTGTTTCATGTTTTCCATGTCTTTTATTTTGTAATTGTTTCCTGCTGTTAGTGTCATGCTTCCCTTCCCTCATGTATCTCTGCCTTGTGTATGTGTCATGTTCTGATTGGTAGTCCTAGTCATGTGTCTTGTTTCCCATTGGTTTGTTCTTGTCATGTGACCCTCATTGTCTGATATAAGTAGCCATCATGTTCCCATAGTTCTTGTCGTGTATTGATTATGTAACCTGCTGTTGGTGAGTCTAGTTTGTTTTGTGCCAAGTCAAGTCTGTTCAAGTCAAGTCTCTGTTTGGATTTTGGATCACGTTTGTGAATAAACTGCACATGGGTCTTCACTACGCTTGCCTTCAGTGGATGATTCGTTACACCAGCCACAGTAATAATAATAATATAACAATAATATTGGTGCATCCCTAGGCTTATTAGTATGCTTTTTTGGTCTGTTTAAATAACATTAAATTAAATGAGATCTTGAACCAGCACTTCACACTCATTTCACCAATTTCAGAAAAGCCACAGCTTTGAATCCTGAGTAATTCATGGGATAAATTTGAACTTGAATGCACTGTAAATCTCTTTGGGGGAAAAAGGTCAACCAAATAAATATATGTGAAGGAGAAAACGTCATTGTTTTCACTGCTCTTAGCAATTTCATCCAAATCAGCTTGTGTGACAGCACATCAAATCGCTGTGGACTTAAGTTCTTGGTTTATTCCCATGCGTTGGGGCGATCATGGTATATTTTCTTAATATTTCCTGATCCGCCGCTATTTTTAAGCTATATTTACCACACAAACATGACATTGCAAATGACACATGAAAAAACGTCCATGTAGTGATTGAAGATCAGGCTGCTTAAGGTTTACGCAATGAAATCTGTTCTGATAGTGAAGGTCTCACTGTCCTTCTGCTCTCCTCTCGTAGCTGCACCAGACATCACGGGGCACAAGCGCAGCGAGAATAAGAATGAGGGTGAAAAAGCTGTCGTCTACTGCAAATCCGTGGGTTATCCTTATCCCATGTGGAGCTGGCGCAAACTTGATAACGGCGTCAGTATGGTATGGTCATTTTGACACATGAGTGAATCTTCAATCTTCTGTTTGGTCGTTTTAAAATGAAAATATAGCATATCATAAAGCATATGAAGTAAAAGTTCTAAAATCCATTTTTTTATGAAGTTTAATGAACCTTTAGATAAAAATGTTTTTTAAAAGTTTTAAAAGCTTTTTTTGAGTATCATATTTGACACATCAGGCTTTTATGGCTCATATAGTACGATATAGTGAGTGCTCATACTTGAAAATGAAAAAAAACACCTCAGATTTCCCAAACGAAGCAAAAAATATGCAATTTTGGTGCTGCTATTTATATGGCCAAAAGGTAAGATGTAATTCTGATGCCTTGTAATGTAATCAATGAGATTTTAACACTATTAACAGACTAAAATATCATATAAATATCAGTTGTTAATTTGTATCTCAATAATACCTTACATTTTAACATGATTTTTCTACAAATGTACAGTATGTATGGATAATCAAGTAAACCTAAGTTACTTAAGTCCAGTAAGTGTTCATCTTGAAATATTAATGACAATATCAAATTTATTCTTACATTTACTTTCTAAAACAAAAAATTATTTACAGTTACGCAAAAAGGTCTTTAATTATCCCTTGTCGTTTCTGTTACTTGAGCTACCTTCAAGCATTTATCATTTAATAAAAAGTTCATATTTTTTAATGAGAAATACTATTTAAGCGTATAATCAGTGGCTTTTCTTCCCCTGTCTTTCACCTCTCCTTGTCTGTCACCGGTTTTCCTCCCACTCCATCAATCACCCAGGATATTGACAACTCCTCTGGCCGCTTCTTCATCAGCAGCAAGGATGGCTACACCGAGCTGTCCATCATCAACCTAGACATAACCTCCGACCCCGGGGAGTACGAGTGCAACGCCACCAACATCATCGGCTCCAACTCCATGCCATCAGTTCTGCGTGTCAGGAGCCGCCTGGCCCCCCTGTGGCCCCTGCTGGGGGTCCTCGCCGAGATCATCATCCTGGTGCTGATCATCGTCATCTACGAGAAGCGCAAGAAGCCTGATGATGTTCCTGACGGTGAGTTTAAAAGGGTGGGTTACAGTTTCAATATAGACTATTGATGTTAGGCTGATATTTATTTTACAAACTTAGAGAAGAGATTGGTATCGGAAGAGATTTAATTAAGAGAATTTTTTTTTTTTTTTTTTTTGTGAAAAGCATTATGGGGACTCCTTGCCAGTCCAAGAAGCATGACTGTCCTAAGCACAGTTTGCCTAATGCCAATTAATACACAATGTTATTAATTATTATATATATATATATCACAATGTTACCAGTGGGCCCAAAAATTATTAAAATATATTTTTATTAAAAATGTTATTAGGCTACATAAAGTGTGGGTCTTAACTGTCCAAATAATTTGGGCAGTTAAGATAAACTCTTAAGGCAACAAAATGTCAAATAAAGTTTTTTTTTTTTTTTTTTTCAAAATTAAGACAAAGTATTTGAAAATTTTCTATCCACAAAAATGGCTCAGAAAATTAGTTCTGAGGATTGTTTTTATTTTTTATATCTAATCCAGAATAGATATTGGGGCTGCTGTACAGTGTATATACAATACAATTTAATGTTAGCTAATGTTTATTTAAAAATATATATAATAATAATAAATAACATGATGGAACAATACACAATATTCTAAAAATTGAAAATGAGTGTTATTTATTTAGAGGGCCATCAAAAGTGTCTACAACTCATTTTCTTACTATAGGAATTTCACTTTAAATTGATACTGACTAAGAAACATTCCATTTCTGTATTATTTGTATTAAAAAAAAGGATGCCACTGAAGATATACATAGACTACTGTTCAAAAGTCAGTAAGATTTTTTTTCTCGAAAGAAATACTTTTATTGAGCAAAGATGCATTAACTTGATGAAAAGTGACAGACATAATGTGACAAAAGAATTCTCTTTGAAATAAGTAGTATACCATTGAACTTTCTATTCATCAAATAATCCTGAATATTGGAAAAAATATAAATCAGCACAATTGTTTTCCACATTGATAATAATAACAATAATAAATGTTTCTTAAGCACCAAAACATAGAGTAATGGCTGCTGAAAATGTAGCTTTGTTGTCACAGGAATAAATTACGTTTTTAAATATATTCACAATAATATTTCACAATATTGCAGTTTTTATTGTATTGTTTGATTAAACACTGTCTTAGTGAGCATAAGTGACTCTATAAAAACATTTCAAACATCCTAACAATCCCCAACTTTTGAACAGTAGTGCATGTAATATTATATTAGGCCTAAGATAATTGTCCTATACATCTCCCACTGCATCACGAGAACTTTGACTCGTTTGTTGGAAAACCGTACACTCTGTTATCTGATCCTGACCTGGTCTCTTACTTAATAATTCAGTCTGAGGCCATCTAGACCAAACACACACACTCATCGCTCTTTTCCTGTAGGACACCTGCGTTAGGTCATCTGGACTGTAATCTGATATTCGAGAGAAATGTGACTCTGCGTGAATGGGTAGGTAGCGGGCAGTGAATTATTGATGCGTGTGAAGGTGTAGTCCCACGCTACTTACAGCTCACCCACAATGCATTGCGAGGGAAAACGAGACCCTGTTAGTCTTGTACAATGTATTCCTGCATGCCAGTAAATTCACTTTAGCCCCCCTCACTATATATAAAACGAACTCTTTATGTTGAAAGACTATTTAAAGCAATAATGTTCGCTTTGGGATTCAATTATGTGTGCTATTTCTTACATTTAATCATTGCCAATCGATATTTCCTCAAGAACTGGTTTAACAAACGGTTAACGTCTTGAGCTATAGTGACGTTAAATGGGATGTTGTCTGTCCAGCATCGCCACCTAGTGCTTTTCCTCGGAATTGATTTCATCGTCATAAATAGAAAACAACGAATTTATGCGTTTTGTTTGATTAAAATGTGTTCAGTATTGTACATTGTTCGTGGATGTGTGCTGAAGTATATGTAAAAATACAATGTTGGGTGTATAAATTCAGGTTTAGCTTCGTTTGGTTAATCTACACATTTAGTGCAGGCGTTTATAGTTAGCCTACTTGAGAACCGCACCATTATTTTACCGTTAAATTACACTCTTAGTGGTTAATAAAATTAAGCCATTAAGAATTATCAACGTTAACACGTTTCTTTCTCTCTGAATGGCACAACCTAAAACACTGTGGTAAGTGAAAGACCTGCATGCAGCTTGATTGAACCTAACAGTATTGCCCATATTCACTGGTCTCCTGTTAGGCTACTTTAGTGTGTATATAAGTCTTGTGTGATTTAGGCTGAAATGGGATTTTATTTTGCCTTAATTACTGGAATGCTGTCTGTTTTGTTGCTGTTTAACCTTCAAATTACCTTCATTTCTGTACATCTTCTTCACCTGGAGTCTGTTCAGATGCAATCATGTTGGCATGAGCATGAGATTTTACCTTTTATTTCTTTTCCCCTTTCAGTTTGTATTTTTTTTAAAAGGCTGAAAATGTATGTACATGTATTTGTATAGTTATACATAATGTATTTGCAATATTATATATAAAAGTCATGTGATATTTAACATAGGACGCATAGCTATGTCGTTTTTCTGGGCTGCATGTTTGTATTTCTTCTCTGTTCTTGTTCTGTTATAAACTGCAAGCCTTTTAATTACTCACACCAAAGCTGATGGAGCGAAGTCTTTGTTCTGTGTTATTCTACTGCACAACAATATCTTAAATATTGAAAGACAATATGGCATTGAGTTGTTTTTAGCTACTTAATGCAATCAGTTTACGGCATTCGTTCAATAATGTGAATATTGTGCCAGCTGGAACCATTACAGCCCCCAACTAAAATTGTCGTTGTTTTGCTTCCCATTCTTCTTAAGATGACGAACCAGCTGGGCCAATGTAAGTATCAGATTTACATTTTAAATAAGACTTAATATGATGCAACTGTCCTAGATAACTGAAGCCAGCGGATGTGTGATTTATACAGAATGTATGGAGTATAAAGAAACAGTGAATGAAGAGAATGTAATTATAAATATAGACGAGTGTAAAATGCTGGATTTGGATTTTGGATTGTGACACTCACACTGACTCATTTTTATGATCTCACCTTCAAGGAAAACTAATTCCACCAACAACCACAAAGATAAAAACCTACGTCAGAGAAATACAAATTGATTTCATCATTACAAGGTGAGTATTCAGTTAGACTGAGAATATTCATATCAGTTGAACATACAACAAGAAACAGTGCTTACAGAAATTTAGACACTAAGCCACACTTAAAAAATGTATAAATTACCAGAAAGTGTGTAAATGTTTTGGAACAGAATATCATCTTTTGTTTTATATTTTCATTTTTGACTTATGCATTTTAACTGTTAAACACGTATGTTTATGATAATGAGAGTACATTATCTTGTTTATTACATGGCTGCTCACTAGATAAATAAATATGTGATTTTATAATCTTAATATTATCTTAAAGCTTCCACTAGGGAACAAAAAAAGTCCATTACAATGTACAAAACATGCGCAGCACAACAACACAAACACTTCAACAACATTACAATAATAAAAAAAGAAAAGGTTCACTACAGGTGATAACTGAAAGGCAAGATGACTGTTTACGATGATTGGAGACGCATGAAAGTAGCGGCAGGTTACACGAGTTTTAAACAGAGCACTCCGATCAAGATAAAATAAGTTTCACTTTTAAAAAGGGATCTCGAGACTGCCCTGCATCTCACATTTTTTAAAGGCAAAAACAAGTTCTTTGTGAACCTGGCCGATAAGCTGACTGATACAAAAAGTTGCCATGGACAATATTGGATGAATATTAGGAAATATCTGTTCGCAGAATGCCGCAGTTGACCCAGTCAGAATCAAGTATTCCAGAAATATGTGTAATGAATTTCAAAGAACTAGATACAGGAAGCGATGCAAATTTGTATAAACTTAGCACATTTCTCAATCAGTTACTCCTGTGAAACGGCAAAAGTCACATTGTTAACCCACTTTTGTCACTGCTGTTTGCTGTTTACAGATTAAGACATTCACATCATGACCACATGAACGTTACTCATGAACGGTTCAGCGCATTGGTAATCAAATCAAAGGTGGAGGAGTTAAATGGAAGACCGGAAGAAATAAGCACCCGAGGCATGCCTTATAAATCTGGTGTGAGGAGGACGAGTGAACAGAACGGAACCTGATTCTGAACATTTTCTTGCATGATTGTGTTGCTTTTTCTTTAGAATCTCTTTTATTCAAGTCAACTTTTTCCATGTCAGGCAAAAGTACAAAAATAATAATTGCATGCATGATAATTACTGTTTGATGCAGGCTTTTTTTGTTTGTGTGTGTGTATTTATGAATGACTTCTGTTCAAGCAAGCCTTTAACTTATCGCAAATATGCCACCATGATTCTGGTATGACAGTTTTTGTACAGATTATCATATTACTGTATACCATTTGGTAAGGTGGCATATGATTCTATCAATCAATTAAGGGCTTTGCGAAATGTCCTGCCATGTTTAATTTGTACATGTATTGTACATTGATGTATGAAATCACTTGAAATATCTATAGTTATCTGAATGTTCTTCATACTGATGCACTTATCTCTTCAAATATTCTTGCAAACCTGTGACTTCATTTTATACTTATGTACCATATCTGTCTCTAAGTCTACATGGCTGATTGCTTTTTATGTATGCATAGTATACAGCATGGCTTTTATTCTATGCAATATCTATACATACAGTAGAACAAACCTTTTTTTAAATGTAAGCTTTTGGTTGTGTATAATTAAGCTTTAATATTATAAGTTAGCAAAGTGCACTGTTCAAACCATGAAAAACAATCCACATGGTTTAAAACATCACTGCATGAGCTCCTTACTCAAGGGTCTACTAAGTCAGAATGTGAAGAGAAATTAATATTATCTCAATTGACTAAGGCATATACATGTCATTTTTAACAATGAAAATATCCAAAGTCAAATGCGTTGTCCTTTATGACATGAGGCATTGTTTATTTTTTAAGAAAATTGCTAAATATTTACTCCCCTTCAGCGCGCCCAAGATGTAGATGCGTTTTTTTCTAGTCATAAATTTAGAGAAATTTAGCATTGCATCACTTGCTCAGCAATGAATCCTCTGCAGTGAATGGGTGCCGTCAGAATGAGAGTCCAAACAGCTGATAAAAACATCACAATAATCCACAATACTCCAATCCATCCATTAATATCTTGTGAAGTGAAAAGCTATTTGTTTGAAACAAATTCATCATTGAGATGTTTTTAACTTCAAACTTAAAAAGAGTCATCTATCCATAATATTGCTTTTTCCAGTGAAAAAGATGTTTCGTCTGAATCAGGAGAGAAAAATGCACAGATTAAACAGTTTGCAAGCGACAACAGTCCAAAACAGTTCTAAACAAATAATGTCAGTGGATAACGGATTAATTTTTTCACTGGAGGAAGTGTTATTATGATGGTTTAATGTTAAAATGCCTCATTAAAGGATTTGTTTCTTACAAACATGCAGCGTTTCATTTCACAAGATGTTAACAGATGGACTGGAGTCTTATGGATTACTTGTGGATTATTGTGATGTTTTTATCAGCTGTTTGGACTCTCATTCTGACGGCACCCATTCACTGCAGAGGATCCATTTGTGAGCAAGTGATGTAATGCTAAATTTCTCCAAATCTGTTCCAATGAAGAAACAAACTCATCTATTTGGATGGCCTGAGGGTGAGTAAAAATTGCAGCAAATTTTCATTTTTTGACGAACTATTCCTTTACTATGAGTTTACATAAATTGTATTATCGGTAATTAATCAATGTGCATATGGAAACAATCATATACTAACAAACATGGACACTTACAAAACATTAAAAGGTAAAAATATCCAAGCCTTCTGCAACTTACACAATGTTGCATTGTTTTCAAAAAAAGTACATACCATCTGCTTCAGTATCAACATCTTTGTGTGGGTGTTTTAAAGGTTAAAAATCATCCTATTATAGGGTTGGCACTGTTATGCCTGCAGTCCTAAAAGAAATATGTCTGTGCACCAGAGGGGGGCATTGCTGACCAAGGCTGAAACTTCAGACCCGCCAAACGTTTAATGTCTCTGGACTGTTTGTTTCTACTCCCCCACCCTCTCAGTTTTCAGTTATAGACATTGCACCAAAAAGATCTGTGCAACAGTATTTGGATGAGCCATTTACATAAGTATTATCATCTACACTCATTATTAGCTGTTTAATTTAAACCATGGTGTAAATATGCATTTTATTGCATATATGTGGTTTATATAGCGCATTACAATAAAAAAAGAACATTAATGTTCTGCCAGAAAGATGCAAGAGGAATTTTTAAGACCGAGTTCATATGACCTGCACACTATAAATCCATACAAATATTACAAGGTGAAATTGGCTGACTAAATTACAATGGTATTCAGACAGCAGGTTACCATACAACAGAAGGAAAGATTATATTTTCATACATACACACTCACAAAAATCACATCCACACAGAATAATCTCACAGTCGTTTCTCCTCCATAGCCATAGGGATGGATGATTCCTGGAAAGGCAGTGTTTGTCACAATGCATTTTCTGCTCAAAAAGGCAGAAAGCTGTCTTTGCCCAGGCGCTTACAGATTATAGTGCCATTATTCTCTCGGTATCTAGTTTCATCAGATCACTTGGTGCCCTGACTTCACCATCTGACATGTTATGTTGTATCCGGACCGCACAGTAAAAACCATGACATTAGAAGCACAGTTGTTTTAAAACAAGGCTGTGTGGTTTTTTGAAAATCAAACATGCCATAACATGGGTATATTCGAACTGAATGGCTTGAACATCATTTTATTACTCTGAAAAATTGTCACATTTTGTGATTACACATAAATATAAAAACAAGACCCATCTCTACTGAAAAGACCATCATAGCTGTTGTCCCCACTAGACCTCTTTATAACTAGCAACGCTAGCAACACTAACCTCGGTCAACCAGCTTCACTAACTACCGGTTCACCAGCTAGATCAACACCTTGGCAATGCATATTACTAATCAAAAATTAAGTTTTGATATATTTACGGTAGGAAATTTACAAAATATCTTCATGGAACATGATCTTTAATTAATATCCAAATGATTTTGGGGATAAAAGAAAAATTAATCATTTTGACCCATACAATGTATTGTTGGCTATTGCTACAAATATACCCATGCTACTTATGACTGGTTTTATGGTCCAGGGTCACATATAGTAAGTGCATGTAATTAATTAATATTACTCAGTAGCCTACTTAAATGTATAATTATATTGTAACAAGGACACTTTAAAACTGCAGTCCGTAACTTTTTTTGGTTAAAAATGATCCGAAATCAATATTTGAGCAAGTACATAACGAGTCAGTGTTCAAAACTATCGCCTTACTTTAGCCCGATTCACAACGGTTAGCTTACAATAATGTTTTCTAATCTGAGTGGTACAGGTAGGTTTTCGCGGGAAATTCGAGCATGCTGCCGCGTCATTACGTCACGTCTGTAAACATAAAGAAGTTGTCCCCGCCACTAGGCTATCACATGTGCGGATCCTGCTAGTGAGAATAAAGTATAACAATAATAATAATTTGAACGGTTTGATGTGATATGAGGTAACCGATCTTTAGATTTAATCACCATTGGTAGCGAGATTTATGGTAATGCTTTTTTCCTCAGTTGGTCAGAACAAATGTGGCAGACTTGTTACTTACTTGTTCAGATGACAATATATGGTGAAAATTTTTATTTGGGTCATATTCCAAGACGTAGGCTAGAATCTGTGATTGCGAAGTACAGTAAATATCCACACCAGTGTGGTTACTGACTGGCACAGATACTCTTTCGCGCTGGAGCCGTGCCGACTCACAACCCACGCAAGCTAGATAATTCCGCACACAGCTGCAATTCCAGGTGTTCAAACAGAGATGGCGACAAAGAGGCAAAATTTACGGACTGCAGCTTTAAAATAAAGTGTAACCGAATAATACATTTGTCTACTAAGAAGAAGCAGTGTGCGAATTATTCATTGACCTTCAGAAAGGCTAAAATTAATTGTAATAATTTTTCGGGTATTTCGTTTCAGATCTCGCGCGACCCAAAATTCTGGAATTCCAGATAACCGTCAACTACCTTAAAAGCATTTTAATTATCATTAAAAGTAAAAAAAAAAAAGTGTGTGTGTGTTTTGTGAATAATCCACAATAAAGTCATGCGTTTTGCAGCTTTGCTGATCCTAAACCGCCTTCCAGCGCGAACTGTTGCTATGGTTATGTTCTCCAGCGAACACGATTTCAACTTTACCGTTTACAGAAACATTTGAGAACGCTGTTGAATTGTGTGAATCCTTATGTAGAACGAATAGCCTTCATAGTTTTATTTCTTTTGACTTCCTCGCACCCTGCTAGTCTGATCCATGTCAAGCCAACTGATAAACAATACCCAGCTGTTAGCATGGAGTAATACCAATTCTTTTCCATAAGGCACCATGACGTAATAGAATGAATGACGTAAAAACGGTACTTTTACCGTTCAGGAATGTTTGTTATTATTGGGCGAAATTTTATTATTAGGCAAATCATTTGGTGAATACAGGTAATGTCATGTCACGAAATTTTTTTTTTTTTTTTTTTTTTTTTGCTACACCCCTAACAGTCGGTTTAGGTGGTGCGTGCTTATTTGCTGTCTGCGCTTCTATGGCAACGTAATAGATTATCCATCCCCACGCATGTTACCACAACTGATCTGGACATTTTTTGCACATTGGATTACTAATGTGTCAATGGCCGGGGGCTTCGTAAGTGCTGTTTGAAGAGTAGTTTGGAAAGGAGGGTGCAATGATTTGTCATTGAGACGCGCGTCAAATTGTTTCTCATTCAGACACGTCCCTCCGTCTTCCCGCATCCAGTGTGCGCGCTCGGTGTCTAGTATTACAGATGCAGCGGGATGCATTTTTGTGCATTCATATTTTTGACGACCTATTGTCCTGCCTGCGTCTCCTCTCAGATGATACCGACTGTCATTTGTTCCGTTAAGGTGTTCGATCACAATGGATAGGGTGCATTCTTCCATGCGCAAACGGCTCTATAGCTTGCCACATCAGTTTGGACACAAGGATGCTATGACTCGAGACGGCGAAGACAGCGACAAGGACACTCGGAGGAAAAGTGTCAAGATGAAGCATCTTCCCTCACCCTCCTCCACGGGGAGCTCTAAAGGTGTCAGCGAGGCCAAGAGCGGAGACGCGGAGACCGATGTAGGGAGACCCTTCAGAACCAACGTGAACGGCGACTGCCGGAGATTCAGAGGCAGCCTCTCTTCCATCACCAGTCGGCATGCTCCAGACGCGGATCTGGCGGAGCAGAGGTGCCTCATCGGGGGTGCAAGCCCCGAGGACGACGGTCCCTTGGAGCAACCCGGACCTGGAGAGAGCCAGGGCGCGCAGGGCGGCCGCGGCGACGGGGCACAACAGGCGCCCTCTGAAGAACAGTCGACTTTCGTAAAGTTGGAAGGTATCGAT